GTTCGATTTTCTTGCAATGGCAGTATAACAAACTTTGTTGATTCCTCTCTAGGTCCACCATTTACAAGAACGGAGGACCTCCTTAGGCTACTTTTCGAGGTCTTCGCCTCTGTTAGAGCTTCAGCCACCGGGAAGCATTACCCTAGGGGTTCAGTTGCGTCACGCGACAACTGTAGGCTTTAATATACTTATTTTTAGCATGTTGGGCTGTATCTCCTCTCCTGAAAATCCGATGATCCTAGTTGAGTACTGTGCATATGGAGATTTGTTGCGATTCCTTCGAAATCATCGCGAATTCGTTCTCATGGTAATCTTATCACCTATTCTGTGAGAAACTAGCATTTAATCGAGCTCATAACCATAAGTGACACGTAAAAAGCTCCTTGTCACGGCTAAAAAGTGGGGTAAGAAATATATCAATGAGGATTCGAGAGAAATTTTCCAGCTTCAAGATGACGTGTGCCCGATCGATGCCGATATGTGCCTTCGCATCAAGGATTTGGTCTCTATCGCATGGCAAGTCAGCGACGGTCTCGTAAGTTCCAAGCATATTACCACACATTTCTCTGTTGTATTACTAGGACCACAAAGTATAGAGGCGCTTCTATAAGGTACTCAGTTTGTATCGGAAACCGTTATAGTCAAACAATCCAGGCCCTTCTTATGGGAGGGCTATATAGGAAAGGGCCAGATAAGTGAAAAACCAAGTTTAAAATTGCTCGAACAGTAGCTATGGCACGTTCTGTCAGTGAAGAAAATTTCTGCGAAACACGACTTTCCTCTCTGGCTTTTGATGACCACTTCCCCATTCTACCTACCGTTTTACTGACTTTTCTCAACTTCGCACCACTTCGTCACAGTTTACTACCCCCCCCCTCGCCAAAAAAAAAAGAAAATGTCTTCCGAGCCGGCCTTCCGAGCTGCGGATTAGCACGCATGAAATAAAAAAAAACATGCCAGAAAATCAAACTATCACCGCACATCGGCAGAGTACGAACTACCTCCCTCCAGTGAACCATATACGAACCCCTCGCTGAGAATTCCCTAGCGTATGGCGTGCCCTGAGTTATGGCGTGGGCAGAAACGTGGCTGATACTGATGCAATCAGACGCAGTGGTGTCAGGTCATATATGCACATTCCATACGCTGAAGACATCCTTAGCAGGGGTGTCAGGTTATCTGGGCATGAAGGAGAATGGACGGGTCGTATTTGCTCTGAGAAAAGCCTGAAATGTTTTTTAATGATTGGCTTTTCCTTTTCGCCCGCGCTATCTCACCACGTTGGGAGATCCCCATTGAGAAGATTGTCGTATATGCTTGTCGATTCAAAGAAGGTCGTGTCTTTCACAAAGCAAATTTTTTTCCAGCTGCACGAAAATTTTTTGGTTGATCTTTTCGTGGAATTCCAGCTTCACGGTTGTTTGTGTGATGACAGTTCCTAAGCCCTTCCGCTCGTAAGAATTGAGGACCCGAGAATTTGGGGGGGGGGCGCGTGAGCAGAAGAAGAGAAAACCAGAAACGGTCGCGTTTTAAGATAGTTTAAATTAGCGACAGGAAAACAGCTTCGGCTCAGGTGGCGTGGAATCAGTCCGCCACCTAAACATTGTGTTCCCTAAAAAACGTCGACGCCCAGGCAAGAAAGGAAAACAGCCACGGGTAGAAAAAGACGGATGGGCTCACCTATACCTGTTGAACCGATTCGACTGACTGTGACGATATCCACTGTATACTCGAGTAAATCAGCAGTTTCGGATGGAAGTCAAATGTAAGGCATCTGGAAGGCTATAAACTCTGACTTATTGTCCCTTATCCGCACTTTTGCATGGGAGGGCCTCTGAAGAGTGGCCGTAACTGGCCTCGTAAAATCGAATCCTACTCCTGAATTTCCATGCTCATAATAGCATCTAGAAAAATCAGATTACTTGAGTGAGGCAGAAATGTAGGAAGAACAATTTTTTGAAGGGGAGCCTAGTTGCAGAATTCTTTGCAACTGCTTTCCCAGTTCCGGATTGAAGACTAGGGCAAGGCGTAGCGAAACTAACCACTGCAGCCATTTCAGTTTCAATTTTCGCAAAGCCAATCGATAACCGTTTCAGACATACCTTTCTTCAAAAAATTTCATTCACCGTGATGTTGCTGCTCGTAACGTGCTCATCACCAAGCACCTTGTCGCCAAGGTAAGTGAGCCTCGAAGAATTCTCGCACTACCCATTGTATCCATGGGAAGCAAATGTTCTCTAGTACTAGAAGACTTGCTCACTTGAAAATGTCACAACTGCAACACTTCATAGGTTAGTGACTTCGGTCTAGGCCGTTATGCAGACTCGGCGCTCTATACAGCCCGAGGAGGACGTCTCCCATTCAAGTCCATGGCACTGGAAGCTCTCAAATTCTACGAATTTTCCGAGAAAACTGACGTGTAAGCTAAAACTGTCCCTTGTCTGTGCCGTCTATTAACCAGTCAAGTTCAGATGGGCATTCGGCATTCTGCTCTTCGAGATCTTTCTCACTCGGTGACGTACCATATTCCACTGTGCAACCAATGGATATGATCAGCTACATTGAACAAGGAAATCGGCCACCACAACCGGAAAAATGTCCGGATGAGATGTAAGTCCCTAAGATATAGAACTTAAAGGTATAAAGCACGATAATTTGGTGCTTGCTCAGCAATAGCAGCAGGGGTGCTACACAGTGGGGAAAATGGCAAACAACCGAAGCTGATCGGTAAAAATCTGCGGAAGACCCTTGTTCTGCACGGCAATGGACGAGCATTTTTGGACGAGATTTCCGCTGGCATCATGCCAACAACCTTCTTGCTCTGACAGATAAGGCTGCATGTATGCATTCATAGATCCTGTAACAACGCTTCATATCAATTGTACTTCATAAATGAAGCGATAAGAGTACCAGCGTTTGTGACTGTCCGGCCATTTGTGGGCGGGCGGTTGCGGTGGGCGTCTAGGGTCGGCATGTTGCACCTTGGTTAGGCGCTATAACAGTGCTCTTGGTTGGAAAAGGCGCCACACAGCGCCTGCTCAGAGGCACAATATCTTTCGTGCTAGGCGTATCGACCCTGTACGCCTTGTCGATTTATCGTGTCACTTGCCTTTAAGAGCAGTTCAGCTTGGTTGGGATACCCATAGATTACTGCCGGTAGTTCGTGTGCAGATCGGACCACACATCAGATTCCCGCTCAGAACCGCCTGTGCACTTGATAACAGCAGCTATTCTTAAAATTATCTTAATTCTTCCGAGCTCGTCGTTTGGGACAAGAGCGCCTGGAGCAGATATTTATCTATTAGAATGTCTTTCTTTGGAATTGTAGATATCTGCCTGGATAAACACCTCGTATCACGGAAACGGAGAGGGCGTGACTACGTGCCTCAATTGGACTTAGCACAAAATGCGTTTTCGTGAGATTTTCCGTCTCAGACATGCTTGTCATCTGGTCTTCTGCTAAACAAAGAAATATTACGATCTTCCCGAAACGGCAATATCCAACCAAAAACGCAGCTGCTTTAATGAAGTACATAGCCACGCCCTACGTCTCTGGGAAAGTAGAGTGTAAGTCCACATAAAGCTCTCTGGGGCAGGTCTAAGCCTCAGTTTCATCACTCCTAGACAAATCTTGTAGGAGTCGATCGATCCATTGATCGATCTATCGATCTACGACCATGTGTGTGGTAACCACACCATTTACCGTTCCCCTTTCCCATTTTCTCGTTCCTATTCCAGCACCTAGAAATTACATATCTACGTCCCAAGAAAATATAGATCAATATTTTCAGCTATAAACTAATGACAAGGTGTTGGAAAGCGGACCCTAACGATCGACCAACATTCGCTGAAGTAAGTCGTAACGATAACCAACAATAGTTCCTGAGATCAGTTTCCACCCACAGCTTTCAGATTCGCGGTGAACTAACTATCCTTCTCAATATCGACGACGAGAGCTATGGCTATCTGAACCTTAACCCTGATAAGAAATCCCGACAGAATTCGTGAAATGATCAACCGGCAGGTGGGTCCTTCCCAAAGACACCCCAGAGAAGGGTTGGGAG